AGTGTATTACAGATTTCCTCTTTTTATTGCCCGTGGACCCACTCCACCCCACCACCCTCCCCAGGCCTTCACCGAATTATTGTCTGTGTCCATGGGTTACAAACATAAGTTCTTTGGTTAATCTCTTCCCGTCCTCTTCCTTCCGTTTTTACCTATGCTGCCATCTTGGTTTCTCTCCGGATTTTTTTTTTAAGTTTATCTTTATTGTTGAAAGTATTACAGATTTCCTCTTTTTATTGCCCGTGGACCCACTCCACCCCACCACCCTCCCCAGGCCTTCACCGAATTATTGTCTGTGTCCATGGGTTACAAACATAAGTTCTTTGGTTAATCTCTTCCCGTCTCCTCTTCCTTCTGAGATTCATCAGTCTGTTGCATGCTGTAATGTCTCTGGATCTATTTTGTTCATCAGTTTATTTTGTTCATTATATTCCACATGTAAGTGAGATCATATGATATTTGTCTTTCTGTTACTGGCTTATTTCCCTTAGCATAATACTCTCCAGGTCCCTCCATGCTGTCTCATAGGGTAAAACATCCTTATTATTTTACAGCGGCATCCACCTTGATCTACACTCTTTTTACCATTTTACCTGGCAACCACAGATCAAGTAATATTTCCAAAGTGAACTGCAAATTTGCAAACGTTTAAACTCTTATGGTCGTCTGCCAAATTTGATTATTGTGACTGAAACTCTGGAATCTTCAAATCACTAAGAAAACAGAAGCAGTTCCTTCTTATATGGTTTTTGGCCCAATGGGCACAATATTTTCCTGGGCAACAGTTGTCTACACTATAAAAGAGAAACATGGTAATTGGCGTACAACCGCTACCCTTTTCATTGGCTAATCAGCGAGATATGCAAATTAACTGTCAACCAATATGGCTGCCAGCAGCCACGCAGCTTGAAACTAACATGAGGCTTGCTTGCCTCAGTGACGGAGGAAACCAACGTTCCCTGCCTGCGGCTGCAGGCCTCTGAGCCTGCAGTTTCAGAAAGTCTGTAACAAATACCACCGGACTTCAGCCAGCAGATTCGCAACATTGTAAGCAAAGGCCAGAAACCTACT